CTCTCTCTCTCTCTCTCTCTCTCTCTCTCTCTCTCTCTCTCTCTCTCTCTCTCTCAAATCTCGTGGTAATGATCGTAGTGACGTCATAGCCTATATCTGGACTCCAGCAAGGGGGCGTAGTCTGAGCACCATGATGGACAACCTTATTAAAGGGAAATAACTGATCCAGTTTGAGGTGTTGATGTGATGAAAAAATGTTTTATATATATATTTTTTATGTTCATCTAATGTGGCTTTATGTTTTACCTGTTTCATATTTAGCTGCATTGACAGGTGGGCAAAAATACTGAGTTTAATTATTAAATAATTTATACTTAAGCTTAGAAAAAATATATTTTGTGGGTAATGTTGAGTTCTAGAAATTTGTTTATTAAGTTACTAAAGGAAATTATAATAATTAAAGCCCTAACATTCATTAAATGAATGCTTAATGCACATTTTATGCCAGACTGTAATCTTTTTATGTTGAGAAATGAGAAAGTTGTAYATGGTCTAACTTGAAAATTATGTGCCATATGATAGAGCTCAGAGTATGTGTTATGAATAACTCTCAGCTACTACCACAATAAGTTGTAGTCCAATATCTGTAAAACTGGCTGAGTTATAGCCATTTTTGTGTTGCGTAATGTTCTTTAGCTGTGGCAGCTAWCTCAAACTGGATTGACTCAAAAAGATAAAGATTTGTAAATTGAAAATAAACGATTACTTCCTGAAAGTTTTATTGAAACCCTGCAAGCAGTTCATRGGATATTTCACTAACAGACAAACAGGGTTTACTCCAACACATAATGCTAACTTTATAAGCAAAGTTCTTGCACAGTGAGTAAAAATTGAAATATGGATTATGAAAGACTAAGCTGCAAGCTCAACAAATTTTAGCCCAATATTTGTAAAAATGACTAATTTATGGCAATTTTTGTGCTTTAAAAACTTAGTCAACTGTGGCGACAGCTCAAGTTTGGGTTGGCTCCGAATGCAAATCAGTTGTAGATGTACACCTAATAATCAAATCCTAAAAGTTTCACCAAAATCCAYCCAGTTGTTCATGAGATATTTTGCTAACAGCAAGCAAGAGAGACTTGAAAAGTTAAAGGCAATTTAAAATGAATCCTACACTGTAACATGAAATTATTAGTAAAATAAAAAAACTCTGAACTTTATTCTTGTTACTATTTTCCTTTAACTCCTTCTGCTTTGTGTGCTTCTGTCTGCAACATGCCAGGACGTGCCCGAGCCTCCACCTGCCACCATCAGAGCTGCAGTGTCTCTTTAAAAGGCGATCCCATGCGCAGGATCCAGGGGGGGCTGGTCCTTGATCGACTTGCATGCGTGTATTGTGTGTGCGTGCGTGCGTAAGAGCGCGTATATGAGTATTGTGAGTGTGTGTGTGAGAGCAAACCGAGATACAGTGAGTGAGTAGTAAGCCCGGAGAGGTGGCAGTCCGTCTTATTCCACATCGACGTGCTCGTGCGCACATCTTTATCTGTCTTCATATCGCCGAGTGGCGAAGAGGAGAGCCAATATGGCATCTGTGTTAGGTGGACCATCCGGGATCTGATCTGCCTCTTCTTCTCTTTGTGTTGCCTCGGTGTGACTGTCCGCTCAAGGTAATTCATTTAAAGTCTTCAGTGGGGGGG